CTTTTTCCTTGTAAATCCTTCTTTGATACTAGTCATATTTATTGTGTCGTAATGGCATGATTAAGACACACTGAAAACGAGCTTGTTTGCCAATTTGTGTTCTCAATTGAGTGTTTCAATCCTTCTAATTTTACAGCATGAAAAAATGTACAAGCTACCGACAACTGTTATACACGTGGTCTTTTTGGACAATAATTCATTTACAATAACACTTGCACGTAGCTGGATGAACGCGCTATCATATTTTGTGTTAGAAATGATATTGCTGCAAAGTAATCAGTTTTCTCCATACATAATTTTATGAAAAGTGAAAAGTGGATCATCGTGTTTTTAATCATGAAATATACCCATTTATTATGAACACAACATGCAATCGAACATACGTTCTCGATGAATTCGTTTTCAATGCTTTACATTCACATTTATATAAAACTATTTCACACGCATGACTCATCCACTCATTTTTTTGACCCCACTGATATCGTTTTATAGAAATTGGAATGGAAATTCTTGAAAAGCAATCCATCGAAAACATATGTTCATCTTTTATACCATAGTATCATGAATGCAGTATTGTTAACGACTTGCTTATACAACACCTTGCTGTTGCATTGAATTACCCTAACGAATTCTGGAAGTGGAAACAAACCAATTCCGGGGGTGCAATCTAATCCAAATGCGTTTGACTACCACCACCATTTTAACCAGACAATTAAAGTTTTCTCGTTATTCAAAAATCTTAAGGTAGTGCAACATTCTTTCAGTGAACCCCAAATTAATCGTTTAATCGTGCCCTTCATTGTTCTTTCTACAGTATATACGTATGAATAATATAAATACCCTTTCATTCCGTATTTTCTGTGTCATCAAAATATGGACATAAATGAAACTTTATGAATGGACTGGTGATCATACTAACTTTTTAGTGAATGGACCGTGTTTGTTGAGTAATTCATACAGTTTTTTCTCCGTTGTTCCTGAAATCTTCTGAGTAGCAACACACTAATTCTACAATAATGCACCTCGTTCAGCGACATGCAATTTCGCCTGATATGGATCCGAATACTCAGTCCTCGCAACTAGACAGTACCCCACGAAGATTAGCACTGGACAGTATCGCTCCGGTCCATTTGTCGCACCACTTTCTCAGCCTGGACCGAGTGACTTTGGGTTCACGCGCTCGGCGGCTCATTCACCTCACCTATAGCACATCGTCCAGTGTGACCCAGGGAGCACCGAACTATCGTTTCTTGTTTTACACTCGACTTCCAGAAGATATGGAGGTGAGTAAAATGGACAGAGATTAGCGAATCTGGTTTATATATATATATATATATATATATATGTATATATATATATATAATGGTACATTATTGCCTAATTCTTGTGTTCACCGCTGCTCAGTCATAACACTCATTTTAGAGATTCGTTAGAAGCACCAAAGCCATCGGTGGACGGACTCAGTTGTGCAGTACACGTCAGATTCATAATTTATCCCACGAGAATTTAAGTGACTTCGTAATAACTGATTAGGCACATGAACTTTGTTTTAGACGTCCAAAAGAAACGGATTATATCGTACAATTCTCTCATTTTTCACCTTATCCACGTGGGTTATATATTCCCTATCTCGGCGCGTTTCAATAGGTTTAGGACTTATTTTGGGAAGATACCACTGTCAATGGCTATCCAGAGAAAATTATCTATTAGTTCGACGGACGAAGGTCAACTGTTAATCATGTGTGTAAAACATGAAAGGGAAGCGGTTTCTTCAAATTGGTAGTTAAACATGTGCAATGTTTATGGGGTTTTTGCGGATTGAAAGCTTCCTGTCATGCAACTTCAGCATATACCGTAAAACACCCCCAATCGCTCGGATATGCTTTCTGTGTGTCTAGCCATCACGAAAAAATTGATGTATGCTATAAAAGCTAAATTGTCTGGGAAGGAAATGTTATGATTTCACCTCATCCGTTTCCATCTGTTCCTGGAAGTCTGGCAACTGTGTGAAAAGGCTTGCATTCATTGTCAGTAATGCGTATGTACTGTGTTTGTGACCTGAACTTAGATTATTGTTTTGAAAATACTACTGAATGAGTGCACTTTTTTGCACAAATCCCATTTGGTGACTTGACCGTTATAACCTCATTTAACCGCGCAGGATAAATTGATTCATACGTGTCCGTTGTAGTCCTGTTGGTCTTTTCTATGCTAGGGCATTTTCCGGATGAAAACTTTTTTCCAAACATTTTTTTTATCATTTCAGTTCTTGGAAATTCGACCTCTGGTTGGACGTATTTGTCCTGGTCAATCCATCCAAGTTGAGATTGTCTATACCGCCTTAGGTATTCCCCGACTTTTAGATATGGAACTTACTTGTGAGGTAATTCACTTTGTTCGAGTTTGTGGTTTTGCTTTTCTTATCTTGACTTTATTTTGGTAATTCACATAATACTTCTACGTCAACATATAATGTGACAAGGCCGATTGCTTGTATGCCTACTTTCCTTTGCAAAACAGAATTTCCCCTCTTGTTCCATGATATTCCTCCAAAATTTGTCACTTGATATTGGTTTACACACGGTCCCCCTTAGAGATAACAATCTGCCAATCTACAGGCAGATCTAACCCCTCACCAAAATTGAGATTCCTGTGCTCAGTGGAAACCCTTGACTCGGATCTTGCTCACTTAGTCATTTAAAGATGGTTCCGTGAGACAATGTCACGTCTCCTCTCCGTGCCCGGGATGACATTGCAAATCTGTGGAATAGATAAACGCTGCCCTATGAATCTCCAATCTGGTGTCAACAGCTTGCGCTTTCGCTCTATTTACACTGATGTACCCCGGGACAGAATTTCAACATTCGTGTATCTTGCATCCGATAGTCTTTTGCAGGAGTAGCTGCTAACTCTGTATACTTCATGATTGGTTATTCCCTAAGGGTTAGCAGCTGTTTGACAGTTAAAAAGTGAATCAAGTAATTTATCTGTTTCAGTTTGAAAACGTTATCACAAACATTGAGGACTCGCCATTTTACCCTTCACAAAGTGGTGTGAGTTGATAATTGTTTGAAGTGCCGGGATTTTATCCTGTGCCGGGGCAAAAGCAGTAATTTGGCTGAGTTTGATGCAGTGCATTGACAAAGCCAGTCTGATGTTCGTCAGTCTGAAGTACCCGCAGCGCCTTCATGACATTCGTCTTCCTCAGAACGAAGAATTGTATAATATCACGGTTTGAAACCTTCTATTTCATTGTTAGATTACCCGGCCTACTTGTAAAAAATGTTCATTTGTCAACACCAATCTATTATCATTGCCTCCAAACTATTGCCTGAATCTGATGGTAAAAACGAGAATGCTTGCTCATCACTTCTCGCACCGATAGCTATTTGCGATTTATGGGTATAGTTGGAGAAGTGGTGCCGCTGCACGACCATCAATTTTTTAAGGGTATTTATATCCTTACATTTACTTCTATCAAGCCTCCCGGTTACCCTCTGGGGTGCGAGTAATTGCTACAAATCGGAGAAATTGGTGAGAATGCAACTGTAACTACGAATTCCTACGGCTGAGCCCAACGGAAAAAAAATCAATAAAGAAGTCAAAAATTACCCTCTTACGGTGAAAGTCAACAAAATATTGGGACACGTTCTACTAGTACCGGTTACCGCTAAATATTCTTGGAGGCTGTGCCTTCAGGTCGTATCCTCGAGAGTCAATTTCCTTAATGCATCGCCATCACCACACTGAAAATTCCAGGATTGACTTTCGTATACTTCATTAAAAAGAAAGTTAATCTTCTGATGTTACTCAGGATATGTCATCCTCTCGGTGGAACGGTATTCCGTATTTCATATGTATGATGATTAACAGGATGACACTAATGATTCGCTGTGTGCAGTTGTTTAAAACGTTACATGCTCACTCATTTTTCTGTCATCATTTGTCATTATCAGCAGCTAAATTTCATAATCAGCTTAGTATCGTTCATGTGACAGGTGAATCTGATACAGCTTCAGTCATAGACTCGTCGATCCCTTGTTCGAATCCCGCCACCGCCACTGCAAGATGAGCCTCCAACTTCTTTCTGAACAATAGCCGCGTATCAAATGAATTAGGATAAAATTATGAATCGAGTATTTTTAATGACCAGAATGAAAAACGGTTACTTGTCAAAATTTCACACACCACAAAGTGTTAAAATGGCAAATCCGGTTATTAATTGAAGTTCGTGTTTATTTAGCCACACAAGCCCGTTCAAGAGAATTACTTGAGAAGCCTTATGTCGCGCCTTCGATAGAATGATCTAAGCCATATTTCACTGCAGCTGGTCTCTGAATGGATAATCCATTAGGACTTCTACTTTTTCTGTCGGTTCACATGTCCTTCGAACAGGACTCCCATGTCTATCCTGTCGTTCAGTTGAGCTGAAGATTTCATATCCGTGAGTCCTGGGGACAATCCACAATTTTTGGTTTTTTAGCTCTTTCATATCATATATGGGCTCAAAAATGGTTATCTAAAATAATATACAGATATAATACTACCTAGTGAACAACATCTTTTACAGCTACGAGATGAAGCTTCTGAACAAAGTTATGAAGAAGCAATGACTCTTTGGCAATCGGAATGTGAGCGACGTCGTGTGGAATTCACCATTTCCGACCAGTATCCAGCAGACGGATTGAGTGGTTTCCGAGGTGTAAGTCCAATTCTTAAGAACTTTAGTTCATATTGAGAAAACTAAAGTTCCCGCAACTCATGTTTTCATAACAAAAGTTCAACCACGGTTGTAAGGACTTGTTAGAGATGTAGAGTATCATATCAGGTACAGAACTATTTCCTCCGGCATCCCGGCAAAGATATCTTCTTCTTCACTAGACGGCTTCGGTTTCAGTTTTTACAACCATTAACCATGCATTTTCGTACGTCGATCGTGGTTGCTGTCTTTTGGCTGCCCACTTGGATAAAAGAGCAAAAAGAAGATGGAAATGTTAGGAGCAGAATCAAAGTAAAAATAGAGAATTAATATATACTGGGGTTGCAAGTATAATCAGCAGATGCACGAGTGCCGCCGTTTGCGACACCCAGCCATATCACTAAGTGTCTCTAACCGCCGGTAATCATGATCTCGGGTCCCCATACAGAAAGCCTAACTGGATCTATGTGACCCCGTGTCCTGGTTAGAGTTTTCATATCCCCACGCCAGGTGTTAGCCTGACCGCGTTTGATCTTTTTCCAAACACTTCCTGCCTCGGCAAACATCGGAGGCCGTGGAAACCCATTTGGTGACATGGGCAATACATGTCCCAATCACCGTAGTTTTTGAGGTTGACCACCTGTTCCAGTGGACGACCGCTAGTACCTAAATCTCTGTGTCTAATCTCTGCATTGCTTGTTCGGTTTCCCCACCATATTCGTGCAATGCGTCGTAGACAGCGGTGTTCGAACACCGACAATCTATTTTTATCCTGTTTTGGTAATGGTCAATTCTTTGCACCGTAGATCAGGACTAGCCTCCCTGCTGTAGTATACAATCGACTCTTCACAGACCACCTGATGTCACGACGGCACCACAAATGTCTCAAGTTCATCAATACCAATCGAGTATTCTGTGCGCGAGCTTACACTTTACCCATGATGCCTCCGCCAGGTGAGATATAGCTGCCCAAATAACAAAACCACTGGGTATATTACGGCCCCACTTAGGCTGGGTGCCGAATCAACCCAGTCCTGTAGCAACATTTTACATTTTGGAGGTCCAAAACGCACAGCAAACATAGATACATTGGCAGTCGAACTATACAGAAGAGCTCCCAACTTACCTAGATCTTCACTTGGCAGCACAATGTCGTCTGCATACTCGAGATCAGACAGTCAATTACCTAGGAGCCAATCGATGCCACTATCGTCGCACGGATTCAAGAATTATATCTATGATAAAATTAAATACAAAGTAGATAGAAGGCAACCTTTTCGAACACCACCCGTATTCAACTGGGGCGAAAATGTGCCGTAAGTTCGGACTCGACTTAACTATTAGCATAAAGATATCGCAAAATGGGAATTAACTCCTCGTGCACACTCTTCAGAGCGTGGCAGTGCCACAGTTTAGTTCAGTCGGCTGAGTGGAAGGGGATCAAAAAAGATAGAAATGGTGGGTGGTGGTGGAAGGAGTGTGTTCAAAAATTTGGCCAGGGGTGAAAATATGGTCTATACAACCTTAATCAGGTCTGAAATCAGCCTGGTTCTAACGCGTCCACAGTTTGCTTGCTGCAAACAATCGACGGAGTATAATACCGGCGTGGAGCTTAGAGAGAATGTTGAATAAACTAATTCCCTCCTGGGTTTCTCAAGAGAATCTGTCACCTTTCTTGTGAATCAGTATGACGATCGATTAACACTACTTAGTTAAAACCTTTTCTCTCTGCCACACATATGTCAGGAGTCTCGGTAAATCCAAAACCAAAGCTGAACCTCTATCCTTAAAACCGATGGGGACAGCCTGTCTCGGTCGGAGACCTCATCTTTTGAGAGGGCTGATTTCCCGGGTAACTTCCATTTAAGATGGTAGTGCTTGCTCAATTGAAGCAGGCATAAGTAGGTTTTGTTTCGACGGGGGCCAAATGAACTGTGTTCTTAAATGTTATGCCCATCTTTCGAGACGTAGTTGATGAATGTGAATCGATTTTCCATCAGACCTTTTAATTACCTAAAAAATTGCCTGCTTTCCTTGAGCCTGTACTTCTAATTAAACGAAAAAGATTGCGGCCATCACCGATAGACGCAGCTGTCTCCATTTCCCCACACTTCCCACCCACCACTTCTCGCGGCAATTCATCAGACTCTTGATGAGCTGGCGTTTAAGGGATTTACGCGCTTCGTCGCAATGGACTTCAAAAGTTACAGTTTTGCTAGCGTCCAACAGGGCAGCCGAGATCGAGTAGATTCATTGTTTTTGCTTTGATCGTGTGCAGAATTCGCCGTTGTTTTGATTAACGTTTGGATTGCTTCCTTGAATACCATCAATTGTTCAATGATTCTTTCGTCTGACGGTTGAGCTGAAAGGCAATCAGAGATTTCCGACTCAAAGGTCGATTTTCAATTATCGATTGTGTTTTATTATCAAGCGTGCGTATGAACGACGCAGCACGACCATTTTGATTTCCTTCGTCTGCAACGAAAGGAACATATTGGATGCGAGAGGAATACTGAGTTGCACATCTATCTCCATTTATGTTTCTGTTGCAAAACTTCTTCTCTTCCTCTCTGGGTCGGGGCACTGGAGAACAAATTCTTTGGTGTTTTATAGAAATTCTGTTCTACAAATGCAGAGAAAGTTTTTTGTATTATCTGGTATTATGTAATTGTTTTAAGCAATGAAGCTTACGTTTCAGTTAAAAAGAATTAAACAAGGAGCTCATTTACTGGACAAAAACAGTATCTTGATGGAAACTATCTTTTGCATTCCATTCAGAAACCCGGTCGCCTTCGAACCACCGGTGGTGACATCACTCTCAATCAACCGATGCCACCCAAACCTCGCCTGTTACATCTCACCCTCGGTGTTGAGGTGGTCAGTCACGGGGAACTAAAAAGAAACTGGCCCGACACATGGAAGAGAGAGTTTATTGACAGGTAATTATTTTCTTTTCTTCAGAAAATTTTGAAAGTATCTTGAGGTTTTCATGTATCTTGAAAACATCAGTAATGATGATAAAAATAAGACTACCGTGACCCACAACTATTGAATCAAATGACGTTTGACTAAACTTTTCGTCTATCAATGCGATCTCTTTAAACTTTGAATACATCGAAATGCGATGTTTCACACTCGTTAGTCAATCACGGCACATTGTAAATGGGTTTCCATAGGAGGAATCCGAAAACAGCTAACAAAGTATGGAAAATCAGATTTCGTAGCACGGGTTGACTGAGTTCATTTTCGTTTGTCCACTGAGCTTGACATTTTTACTGCTTGGGTAGTGGCGGTGTTCTAGCTTAATCTTTTCACCTATATATATTCTTCTTCTGTGACTAATTTTGCCCTTGTTCACATTTGTTTCAACCTGGTTCGCCGCTGAAGTAGAGCAAAAGGGAGTGTTATTCTTCCGTCTGTACAGCGTTCTTTGAGGTCCGCTCTCGAATCCAGTGAATAGGTGAAAATTTAATTCCGACTTCATTAAGACCATGTCCACCTAGTTCAATGGCGAACTAGATTGATACCAATGTGGATTATAGATATATCAACTTTACTGATACGGCGCCAAAATGGGAACCCAACATCGAAATAAACTTAGAAAAGTATCCACATAAATGAACGGACAGAAGCAAAACGTTGCTACACCAAGAGGACTTGGGAGCTCACTTCGACTGGTGCTGAAACGTTTCATACGATTTACGAACCATGAAAAACTGGCAAAAAAGTTGTTGTAGTTGGTACTACCATATCCTACGGAAAGTAACCGGTACGATGTCGTTTCATCCCAAATAGCACCGACGTAAAAAGGGTCTGGACGATGATTGGCAAGCAAATCAAAACAGGACTTCAATAAGATGAGCAAAATGACACAAAAATACCATTCTTTTGACAGATGCACAACCCACAGTCGCATCGATGCATCTCAACACTTACACACTTGGTGCCGCATAGACTATGTTGAATGCAGTGGTTCGATCAATCTTGCGCTTTCTTTTCAAAATTAGCGTTTATAAAACACTAGTCTTGAAAGCTGGAGTATGGATGAAAGATTGGTCACGTTTGATACTGAACCTAGTTTGGAATGTGTCTTAATTATCTTCCTGGTTCTTCCTTCAAACTAACACGCAACTGCCTTCCTGTAACATACATATGTATATCACCGGCTTTTTTTGTTATTAAACATTTAGGTTACGGTTTATAACGGGAAGAAATACTTTTCTGAGAGTATTTTGTGATCCAACAGTTTTCATCACTCTCGGAATAAAACTTCATCATTTTCTGGCATGACACCCGATCCATCTTATCTACACGGTTTCGATCTTTTGATATATTATCAAACGTGTAAATTTTATCTGCATTTCTAAAATGATCACCGGATTATAACCATTTTTTATTTATCGTAATTTCTCTGGGATTCACTCTTCTTGTAGTTGTATTATTGTTGCGTTTCTTATCATTTTTCTCGATACGTTACGGTCTTTCAAACCGGTTTATTTCAGCACCCTGTTTCTCCAACCCATACACACAATGGCTGCAGTTCTGAACAGTTCTAAGCCGGTCACTCCATTACAAAGACAATGTTGTACCGATCTGCTTTCTTCCATCGTGTCTGGTTTGGTATATGACCCGGATTTTGTCAATCTGATACAACCAATTATCTATTCTGACTCCATTGAGATCGACGAAGGTGACTTAGCTCCTTATTTCGCCCAATTGCAACCGAGACAACACTCATCCGTACGGATGCCTTTGACGGGTGCTCCCCTAGACGGTGTTATTAAACGGGACATCACAGAAGTTTCAAATAATTGCGCCCCCATGGTCGACTGTGATCGCCTACTAGGAATGAGTACGGAACTGGACAAGTGGTTGACAGAGGCAAATCAATGCGATCACTGGGTATCCAATGAAATCCCGAATGACTCAATCG